TTCCAACTTCTAGACCTAGCCCTGTAATCTAATAGCAGTACTATTCTGCAATCAATAATTGTACATAAACTATGTGTTTGAAAACAGCTGGGAAAGTGTTAACAGCTAGCAACATAAAAAGCCCTCAAGACTTTTACCAGATATTTCACTTTATTATTATAGTCCTTACTTCCCTACCCCAATGCACAGTCCCTGTGGAGATGAAATTAAAAGGTTTATTCACATTTTATTTCCTGGTAACTTCAAAGTTACTAGAATAATCTCTGATGGTGGAGATTACAAGTGATGCTAAATAAGACAACTCCATTTCATAGGTTTTTTTTTGTGTTGTCTGTTTGTTTTCTATAGAGAAAATGACGAGAATCTATCTAGTGGTACTTCCTCTCTTCTCCCAAAAGATGCAGGACATCAGAGCATACCTAATTCACATCGCTCACATGGGCTGCCCCAAGCTGCTCCTAAGGTAGCACAGCATTCAGATTTCAGTGTAGCACCATTGATGTTGACTTCACAGCGACTGTCTTGGATGTTAAGCCAGCAAGTCCCCTTCAGGCTATCTGCAGCAGAATAGAAAACAATATAAAATTGTCACAGCAAAAAGAGCTGGCATGCCATGTTCATGCCACCAGTAGACAAAGTACTAAGGGAGTGCAGGCTTCCTTTTAAAAGAAAATGTTCCAGCAGAGTAATTTTATACACATTTTAGCTTAGAAGTGGTGGAAAGGAATAGCACTATATTAAAAGTGAGCAATAGAGCACACTGCTTGAGGCATTTTATAGTCCAGGTCCCATGATTAGCAGAGGTCCTCCAGATATTACAGTGGATTCATTTATTTACTTTATCTAGTGACTGATCAGTCTAAAATACACAAGTTACCAGAAAAGCAGAGGTTACAACCTGGGACTCCACCTTCCAGTTGACTGCCTGAATCACCGGGTTGTGAAATCCAGGTGCTCTTGCCTTTCTCTCACTCAGCAAACCTTCAAGGTTGCCAGGAAGGAAATAAAGAAAAAAACGTGTGGGACAGGGGTGAGCCATATTCTTTCAGGGGTCTGGTTCTGCTGGTGCATTAGCTATCCTTTAAGCACTCCTTTTAGGTCATACTACACGATCACTCCTTTTAGGTCATGCTCCTGAGAGCTCGGCCCCAGCACACCCAGCTCCTGAATCACAAACTGGATTGCCAGGCTGGGAACACAGACCAGCTCAGGGCAAACCCGTTCCACTAAGTGCCCAGCCATGTCAGGCAGCACCTGCTGCCCAGGCTAGATGGTCACGGAGCAGAGGAGAGATTTTCAGCCACAAGTATTGTCTCTGCTGCCTGAAATCCTCTGAAATTCTCTTTTAGGTACTCTAATCTCCAAGTCTTAAAATCCATGTTTTCAGTGCCCAAGCTGTTTTTTAAATTGTCAGTTAAATCCAAAATCTGTTATATATTTCAAAAGTTGTACCGAGAGAACCTTTTTTCAGTACCTTTACACTGTTACACTTGAAAGGCATACAATTTCTTGAAGAGACAGCAACCTTTGTGATCAGCTAGCACAAGCAGTCTGTAAAGATCTAACCCAGATTGCGAGGTCAGCCTGGGTAGAGTTTAAATGCATGTGCATACTCAGAGTTCAAAGCTAAGCAAGTGGCCCAGATGAATTTAATGAGATGACTAATGAAAGAGGAATAGGATTTGGCTCTAAGATTTACATATATTATATGTACAAAAAGCCAGACCATCTATTAGGTGCTGTTGATCAATATTACTAATACCTCATAGAATCATTCCAGGTTATTTTCTTCAAACTACCTCAATTTTTCTACAAAATTGTCATATTATAAAATTACGTAGACCCCAGAGAACATAAACGTTCTTTGGCTAAAATAAGAGAAAAAAAAAAAGATGACTGGAATCAGCCCTAGAAACTGGGACAATGTACTTCATTAACAGTACAACAGTAGTATAATTTAGGTTAATGTTGGTCTCAAACATGTGGGGCAGAACACCACACTTAAACAAGTGCACAAACCAACGAGGGGTATAGAAGAGTGGAAGAGGCAACTTTTCCACACCTTGATCAGCTTTAGCTAACAGTCAAGACTTGAGTTAACATACCAAGACCAAAGACAAAACCTGGACAGTCATTAGCTGGGTTGGCTCTCAGCCAACATGGGATGGCCATGTCCCTGGCCATCGTATGTTCCAAATTCAGTGACCAAGATAGAGAGAGGGAATATAGGTTCTTTAGATGCTCTCTTATGCCACATCCAGATTGCTGGCCATACATTGATGTCTCTGCTTTACGTTATCAAAATGTAAATGCTTCCATTGCTTTATTCACTAGAACTTTCTTGAGCTCAGTATTAATTATTTTCAGTAGTGAACTTTACTAGGTAGAAAAATCACACCAGTATTTCAAAAATTATTTAAACTATACAAATTAACAGGTGACTTCCCTCACACCAGCTGCACTTACATTATCCTGCCAAAGTCTGCTTGTCTTATCTTTTTCAGTCTATGAGTTAATTTCCTTTATTTTACATAATCTGTTTTATCCAGACAAAATCTACAATGGTGAAAAAGTTATGCAGCATCAAAGTATGCTTTCTGTTGCCTGTATCTCTTTGATTCTGACTTGAAGAAGAATGCATACTACAGGCAGATGGCAGCCTACTTATCGTGCACTATATGAATTCCACAGATCTTGACTAAAACATGCATAAAAAGCATATATTAAGAGCATATATCAAAAAGCATGCACAAATGGCAGTATCCCTACTGTACGAGCATTTCTCAATAGCCATGCAACACTTGCACCACCAACAGATGTATTTCAAAAATGATTCCACAGCTTCAATATTGCAAACGCTGTCAGTATGCAAGCAAGAGAAATGCAAAAATAGATCAACATATTTTTTGAATGCTTTTATTATAACTGCTGAATAGCTGAACCCTCATTTGCTGGAAGTTTGAGCTTAAATTTGAGCACAAATATTGTGACTCGAATTCTGACTGTAATTTCAGCAAGTCTTTTTTTTCTTTATCCAGGAAAGCTCACAGGAGACAAACGGCTCACATCTACGCTCGATTTCTACAAGTAATATGGATGCAAATGGCTCTGGCCTCCTGGTCCCTCCTCCTTGAGGCTAAGTAGACTCAGCAAAGGAACCAGAGAAACTGACAGACTGAAGTCTTCTATCCACAAACTGAGTAAAGAACATGCATCAGCCATATAGCTTCTCCATATACGATTAATCTAATGTGCCGTACATGACCTGAGTCCACAAGACAGTGAAAACTGGCAACGAGACCAAGTAGCAGCAAACACATTGGAGCAATAAATTGTAAAAATAAAATTAAAAGTGATGTTATGTTAATCCTTTCTTATTTTAATATTGTTGTAATGTGCTTTTGCTTACACATTTTCTGCCATTTTTTTAGTTCAATAATTTTAATCATCATCATGAAAGAAAAGAAGAAAACTTACTCTTCTAATGTAGGACTGATTCTGCTTCTGACATGACAGGAAATTTGAAACTAAAGGAAAACTAGAAAGGGGTCAGAATCTGCCATTACCTTGCTTTGATCATTCTTACGAAAAACACAACATATTCCCAAATCACAACATTATTTTACCTGTACATTTATATTTTGGCATATGCTTTTCGAATTTGATGCTACAGGAATGCTTTACAGGAGCAATCTGCTAAAAAAATTAAGACAAATATATTCAAGTACTTCACTGCAGTGGTTATAGGAAAAAATAACTTGCTCTACTGTAGAGATTTAAAATAGCATACATTTGACAACAACATTTGCATGTTTTTCACACAGTAAACTACTTATAACTGCCAACCCCTTACTCACTTTTCAATAATCCAGTCTGCCCTCCCCTCATCACTATGAATTCCATTGGAAATTTGCCAAGACAGGAAAACATACAACTGAGCTCTAGCAGTATAAAACTGTACCTCTTGCATTAGCTGTACTTACGAACCTTCTGTCCTAACATATTCTCATCTGTATTACAGAAAAGTTTTTCTGAGACTATTTTGGTCAATGTGGAAAATTGATGATTAGGCTCCCAGTACATAGATGACTCCTATTCTTCAGAATTTATCTGACTGTCCAGGTATTTTTCTTTGTTTACATTTTATGTTATTTATCACTAATATTCAGGCCAAATGGGACCTCACATTGTGTACATTCCAGTGGAAACCATTTGCAAAGTAAATCCAGATCATTGTTATAATTTGGCCCTTAGTGAACTTGTAGCACCCTTGGATGTGAGAACACAAGATTAAAAACAAGCAGTACAAAAAAGTACAGGTTAGTGTGGTGATATCAAGGAATTAGCACAATTAAAAAAGAACAAAAAAAATACTAAACTTCACCGGCCAGCAATGCTACAAAGAAACCTAAGGGAAGGCTTAGGCACGTAAGTAACATTCACATAAAAAACATATTAAGGCACAGACAGACTCCATCATTAAATGGAAACTTGAGTCTTTGCATTCAATTTCCTATCTTAAGCAAATCTTGGCGACGCAAGAAACTAAGAACACCAGACAAATACATCTTAAAATAAAAGGAACATTTAAAATTCACATCATCCAGTTATTAATGGCACTCCAATCCAATTTATCCCACATATCCTACAATGACTTGAATTATGTTAAACAACTAAGAATGAAATAATGGCAGATTGTGATCATTCGAGAAGTACAGATGTCTCTACTCCTTTGAGTTTTCTTGGAAAGGCAAGGAAAAAAAAAACATTAATGATTAGCTTCCAAAGATAATGCAAGTGACATCTTGTAGACAACTGTTGCTGCTAGCTCCAACAAAATCTGTGCAATGCTCTGCTTTTTTTCAATGCAACAGAATCCTCAAAGGATGCTAACATTTTTATGTATATATATATTATGTATTTATATATGTAAAAATAAGACAATACTCGTGTGTCTGCTACATGGACAGGGATCCCGACAAATGCAGATTTGCCCGACTCACCTTTACCAGCTTCCTACAGAAGAGGTAAAGTATGAGATTGTGCTATAATGCAAAAGCCATTAACATTTCCTTACAGCTAGGAATGTCTGTCTTCACATTTCATGAAGAACGTCCTGAACCCAAGAAGCCATGTGTTTTCCTATCACTATTTGAGTAGATGTTCCTCCAGTTTTACCTATTTCTTGTCTCAGACTTAAAAGTGGCCAAAGAACTGAGTGGGTATTTCTGCTTTACAGTTTCTCAGCTACCAGACCAATCACCTACAGCTTTACTCATACTCTCATTCTCCCAAAGGACAAGCTAATTCTCATTAATAATAATTAATCATTATTAATAGTAATTAGTAACTCCCACTCTCTCTCACCAATCAACACCTGCATTTCACCATTCTCACCATAGTTTGGACATCCTCATTTGTGATGTTTCTCTCAGCTTGTTCCTGCTCCCATGGAAGCTATCAAATTAGTATGTGTTTTTTTTGGTCTTACCTACAGAACTAGACATATTGTCTGCTATCATGGGGAAATTAACCAAATACATTACTTGCTTGCTTAATTACTTAATTAATCAATATGATAAATGTTTTTCAAGTTAGTAAGAAAAAGGGAAAATAACAGGAAGAAATACCCACCAATACATATCAGTCCTGTAGGGTCCAACTTGCTGCCAGGTGAACATTCACAACTGAAAGATCCAAGATTGTTCCTGCAGGCACCATTGACACATGGGCTGCTTTCACATTCATTTATATCTATAATCCAGAAACAAAAGCCACTGTTAGAATGTGCTTCTATACAGTATAAATGATGCTGTGGACGATGATTTGCTAAGACTGCCTGGTATATTTGGGCCCTGCCCCACCTCCTCTCAGAATGACTTTCAAAAGATACAGAGACAGGCAGGTAGCACGCATGTGCACATGTACAGGAGCACATATTTTGAAAGTGTTAACGGCTCTTTTCTACAAAGACAGTATTTTCCAACAACTTTGACTATGAAGTTTTCCAGCATCAATTACTTTTCCTGTGAGAGAACAAAACTCTTTTTTCATACAATCCAACGTATTCCCAGCCACAACACATAGTGCACAAAAGCCTTATTGTTCCTGTCATTTATGGCTCCATGAGGCTTTGGAAAAATTAAGAAAGCCCTGTCAGAAGCAAAATATTACAATCCTGGCTGCGATCCTCTAGTTCAGGAAAGCATTCAAGAAACAGGAGCTGAAACAAATACTGTAAATGGTACTTCCCTCTAGCCTCTAACTCCTTCTATTTAATACCCCTTTGAGTTTTTAAGCCTGCTCACGTGTAAGAATAGGACCCTTGCAGACAGTATTATTTGCTGATTTTTTTTAAAAAGTGAGATCAGTTTTAAGATTAAAACAATGTTAGCAAATTCTTTCAAGTTGCAGATGCATATCCACCATTTCTTCCTGAACTCAACCAATTTCATTTTTTGATTTGGGTCCTGAATGAAGCCATACAATCTAATCTAACTAGACAGTCGGTGAGCCAGAAATAAAACTGTTTAGTGCTTGTTTTAGTGCTTGCTTATGTTTGCTAGTAGTGCTTGAGGAATAATGTCATATCCATAAACTAAAATAGCCTGATTTAAATCAGTTATAAATTAAAGTAGGATCTAGTTAAGCACTGGAAACATTAAGAGCATCAAGAGATAATTTTCAAGACAAAGTATCTTCCTTATTTTTAGAAGTCATGAAAATAGTACAATTTGCTATTTGACCAGTTGCATCAAGCCTTCATTTCACTAGAGATGTGTTCTTTCATGACCTTCTGGCATCATAGTAAGGAATACGTGTTTAAAATACATACCAAATATGTATTTAAAAAAAAAAAAAAAAAAAAAGAAAGAAAAAAGAGAGATGGAAAATGCCTAGAGGTCTGTAAACTTAGGAAACTGTGCTCTCTCGCTTCAAAAGTAAGCACTTAATTTAAAAGGCAATTTTCACAGTCCCTTTACTTAATGGAATCACCTACAAGAGCAAACAGGACTTGTCCTTGAATGCTAGCAAGTTTTTGAACAGTGATACAGCTTTACATTTGTAAAGTCTACTCTTAAACTTGTAGATTACCCAGTTTATGCATTAATCATATACAGATGCAGAGATACAAAAATCTAGGAGGCCTTATCACGTCAAGACAGTGTTACATGAACACACCCACAGAACTTCGATGGCTGGCTGTACTGAGTTAACTGCACTGGCAACACCCAAGCCAGTAAGCCCCATCCTAGATTGGGCTAGCAGTCTTGTAGGGCACTAGACAGAGCTTCCATGTTTCTCTGCAAACAGCCTGCTTAGACACAGTTGGTTATGTTGTCTCAGGTGGGGTCCTGAGCCATCTTACTACAGAAAGTGGAGGTGGTTAAGTCACCATCCCTCAATGTGTTTAAAGGTTGTTTAGATGTGGTGCTTGGAGATATGGTTTAGGGTGTACTTGGCAGAGCAGGGTTGATGGCTGGACTTGATGATCTCAAAGGTCTATGATTCTATGATGAATAACCAGGTAGGGCTAGGCCAGGTCTGGCATTGCTCCTGTACTGGCTTGATGTGCTGGGAAGTGCAGTATGGAGGTAATCAAGTAGATCTAGAAAGCCAGTTAGTCCTGACAGAGCAAGCTCTAAGTCCCTCTGTATCCGAGCTGGCAATCTGAATGGCTTACCAATCTGCTCTGCAACTCTTCTTCTCCCCATGAATACATTTCACACTTTATTACATCAGGTTTTATTGTCCAAGGTGTGCTCCCTGCCTCCCTTGCCTCCCACTCTCTCCCAAGCCAGCAATACCTCATAGTGGAGAAGTCTCTGCTGCTTTTGCAGAGAAACGAAGTATCTGGTTCCACAATTAGAAACGGATAACACTGAGATAAAGAAGTAATCTTAAATATGCACTATACATCAAATAATTCTCAGAACAGAAATGCTCTTGGAGAAAGACACTTTTTCTTCCTTTCTATCTGCGATCTTGCTTTCAGCAGTTTGGCTAGGTTTAAAAAAAATGAGAAAATCAGAAAAGACAGGACAAATTCGCTAAAATTTAAGCTGTGTATAGTTTCTCCCTGTCAAAGGCATCAAATGTTCACTGTCTCTTAAAGTCCAAGAACAAAGGGACACCAAATGAAGCTGGCTGGTAGCAAAACAAGTAAAGAAATGGTTCTTTGCACTACAGGTGGAGAATTGGAAATCCTTGCTCTAGGATGCTGAAGGCTTGCATTAATCAATGGCAGCGAGGACAAGTACATGGAAGATAAATTCACCAAGGTCTGCATAAGGTAAAGATTCTATTTCTGGCGTCGGAAGTCCTCAAACCACAACTGTTAGGGATTCAGAGAGTATTTTTGGAAAGTAATGTTGTATACTTGCTCTGTTGTGGGTCAGAGGGATCTTTGATCAGTCTCTGCATTTATATCTTTGCTTTTATGCAGAGGTAATTCTCTGCCCAGACAGTTGCAAGTGCTCTTCCCTGCTTTTAGCTAAGATGCGACTTCAGAAAAATTCCCATGAGGGACAAGGCATAATCTGTGCCACAGAACTGTTGGGTCTTTTGGACACTAAAAATAGATGCCACCGAACACATGCAAAAAGATACAACTTGGCCTCATCTGAGCACTTTTTCAGAGTAAAGTGCCATACTGACACAAAAAAACCTACTCAAGATATTTCAGTCTGCAATGGCATAGAGGAGCAACAGCTTTTTAAAGAGAAGTTCACAAGGTTTGCATGTTTCTAAATACACAAATCAACATTTTCTTGGAAATGAACAAAAAGTTTTGTCTGTATTTTCATGGGGAAATTAAAATCTAGTCTGACTGAGGCACCCAGTGAAGAAAGTTACAGGTCAAGCGCTTGAAGTCTCCTAAAGATACTGACAGCTGAAAACAGGTGATTTGCATGAAAAAAATCACATGGTTTTAAGAGCTGGCAGCTCAATCACAGACAGATCTGCACATACACAACCAAGGGGCAAGACAAAACACTGTAATAAGCAGATAGTTGCTACTATGCAAAACATCACTTCAATCATACTCAGAATATAAAAAAAATGCAGGAAACTTAAAATACTTCACATTTGTAGATGTAATATCAGGTTACCACGACTATCTTTAATTCTCCTTCATACTCAGCAAGTTAGGTTTACATTCAATTTTCTTCTAGGAAAATACATCTTGTATTTCAGGTTTTCAGAGTTAACAAGAAACCCAACCTCAACAAAAAATAGTCTAGGGCCAGACCTGGAAGTCAGTGTCCCTAAAACTGCAACCAAAGATCAGTGAGTAAAGGGGAGATGGAGGGGCCATGTGAAGTTCCAACACCTTAAGAAGAGTGAAGCAGCTCTCTTGATTTCATGGGCCATGTTCTTCATTCTCTGCCCAAAGACAGTGAAAGGAGAGAAAAATTCTCAAACTGAGCATATGGGTGAGCAAAAATGGGGAAGAACAGAAAGGTGATAAACCATTGTCAGAACTGACGACTTTCTAGACTGGAAGAATTCCATTTCAAGCCAAAGTCAGACAGAATCACAGAATGGCAGGCGTTGGAAAGGACCTCTGGAGATCATCTAAGTCCAAACCCCTGCTAAAGCAGGTTCACCTACAGCACATTGCACAGGAGTGCACCCAGGTGGGTTTTGAATATCTCCAGGGAAGGAGATTCCACAGCCTCTCTGGGCAGCCTGTTCCAGTGCTCTGTCACCCTCAAAGTAAAGAAGATTTTCCTCATATTCAGGTGGAACTTCCTGTGCTCCAGTTTGTGCCCATTGCCTCTTGTCCTGTCACTGGGCACCACGGAAAAGAGCCTGGCCCCATCCTCTTGACACCCACCCTTTAGATATCTGTAAGTGTTGATGAGGTCCCCTCTCAGGCTTCTCCAGGCTAAAGACCCCAAGTCTCTCAGCCTTTCTTCATATCAGAGATTCTCCAGCCCCCTAATCATCTTGGTAGCCCTCTGCTGGACTCTCTCCAGTAGTTCCATGTCCCTCTTGAACTGGGGGGCCTAGAACTAGACACAGCACTCCAGATGTGGCCTCACCAGGGCAGAGTAGAGGGGGAGAATAGCCTCCTTCGACCTGCCAGCCACATTCTTCTTCATGCACCCCAGGACACCACTGGCCTTCTTGGCCACAAGGGCACATTGCTGGCTCATGGCCAACTTGCTGTCAACCAGAACTCCCAAGTCCTTCTCCACAGAGCTTCTCTCTAGCAGGTTGATCCCCAGCCTGTACTGGTGTGTGGTGTTATTCCTCCCCAGGTGCAGGACCCTACACTTGCCCTTATTGAACTTCATTAGGTTCCTCTCCGCCCAGCTCTCCGGCCTGTCCAGGTCTCGCTGAATGGCAGCACAGCCTTCTGGGGTGTCAGCCACTCCTCCTAGTTTTGTATCATCAGCAAACTTGCTGAGGGAATACTCTGTCCCTTCATCCAGGTCACTGATGAATCTGTTGAATAGGACTGGACACAGTACTGACTGCTGGTCAATATATAGACAATATATATAGACTATATAGACAACATAGTCTAAATCCTCACTTAAGTTTGCATCAAATATGCTCCTTGGCAAAACAGCTGACTCAACCTGCGAGGTTGCTGCTGTCTGCAGGAGGCTTTCCTTTTTTGCCCTTCCTCCTCATTTTTCTTGCAGTCTCAGTTTCTACTGTTCTCAAGTGCCAGTGCCAGCCTCTCACTGACCCAACAGACAAATAGTCACTTTCCATCTTCTGGGATGAGAACTGCAGAAATTGGTTGCCAAGACTGGGGGTGAGGGAAGATGTAGCATGGAACCATACTCCTCCTCATTTCACTTTGCCCTGACGCAGGTGAAGGAATACTCATCCCACTTCGCTCTATGGAGTAGAAAGAGGGACAGCAGCTTTCACTGAGGATTAGGGTATGCACATCTGAAGGCATTAAATTCTGGTTGTTTCTAAAATAACGTGACTATGCTCTAGGCCTCTTAACCCTGAAAAAACAGTTTGCTACTTTCTGCATTTGACATGCTTCAGCACTATGCTAGGAAAAAAGAAAAAGAACAAAAGAAACAAAAAACAATCCAAATGCTTTTGGGTATTAACAGGTTTATAAATACTGCATTGACTGCTCCCCAAAACCATCACCCAGGGGAAAAAAAGTTAAGGATGAATGCACTTCAGCATTAGTGCTCTGGTGAATCAGGTGAAAAAGGATCATATGCACAACATTAACAAACTCCAAAAATTGTTTTTATACACCTTCTTATTATAATATTAAACGGTAATTTCAAAAAGAGTGAGCAAGAAATCAAATTGATTTTAATACTGGTTTATATTTTAAAATAAAAGCCACTATGCATGAAAATATTTATCAGGGCTTTTTTTTCTTAAGTGAAGTGAGTGTACATTGTAAATGTCAGAGAAACAAAAATTGAAACAGTCCACTTTACATTCCTGGAAATGAACCTCAAAGCACATCTGGTTTACATTTAACTAGTTATGTCACTGGAAACACAATCTAAACCACAGACCTTGTTGTAAAAATCTCAACTTCCACAGACTCTGGAGACTCAAACAACTCCCCCACTCCTCACAACAAATTGATAAAAAATTTCAATTGAACTATAAATGAAAACAGTGAAGGGTTTTGTTGTTTCTTCACAGTTTCTTATGGGAGCTATATTAACTAAAAATATACTGGTAAGATAAGCATCAGAGCATTTTCAGAGCACAACACAAAGCTTCTGGCTACAGAATTTTTTTACAACTAGTGAACTTGTAACTCCAAAACAAATTATGTAGTGTTTCTTTGAAAACAGAATTTAGACAGAAAGAGATGCATTTATTCCTCTACTGCCAACCCACTCAATATTAGAAAAAAATGTGATGCATTTAATAGGTTTTATAGACAGTTTTGTGCCAAACCCCTCCTGATCAGCTTTTTTACCTGATCAGCTAAATTTAAATATCAGTCTAACTATGAGATTCAGGATGAAGATGATAGATTCTTCATGACCTATGCATGTAAGCTAATGTAGATAACAACACCGAAAGAAATTGAAAATCCTTCAGATTCTGCTGTATGGACAATAAAAAAAATCAGAATTATTTTAGGGTCATTATACTGAACTATGTTCAGAAAGGAAATACTCTTACAAATCTGAAGTTTTAGTTCATGATCAGTTGGTTGTTGTTTTTTTTCCCCCAAGGGAGAAAACAGGATATTTTTTCTTCCATTAACAAAAAAGGTTTATTCTTTTAAATATTACTGCACATTCATACACAATCACAAGCTCATTGCTCAGAGTTCATACAGGATTATGAGATACAGCCAAGAGAATCACAGTCACTGTTATTCTACAAAAATGGCAAAATATCCTCCTTTTCAGTAATGAGCTAAACCTGATGACCACCATGAAAGGGAGATGAGACAAGGATAGATCTATCCTTTTTTGGAATCTTTTGGAATATCAGATTATGCTCTTTCATTAGTCTTTGCAGCAGCCACAGTACAAATATTGCAAACATGTACAGATGCATGTTCTTTTATGAATATCTAAAAAATGTTAAAAAAAGACAACAACAGTAAATGCATTAATTCTCACCAAACTCACCAAATAGAAACCCAAATAGCCTTACTTAATGAGCCTGAATGATCATCTCAGTAACTATTCTTTCACGATAAAATAGATTTTAATTTACATAGCAACTTAAATAAACTCTGTGTGCATTTTCTACCTCACGCTCAGGTTGGCTTTAGTTGTGAAATAGCTCAGTTGCTCTATCACTACATGACTGTCAGAGGGACTATAATATGTTAGTTTGAACAAATCACACTGTTTTTTTATTCATGTTCTTAAAATTGATTCATAAACTGATAATTTTGGGAATGCACCTAATTCCCTTAGATAAAACCTGAAAGTGGTCACATTCCTTAGAAAAATGCAGTAACGTGTCATTAAGAGGGGACATGCCTGCCATCTGGATTTCTGCTAGTATCTTCTCTTCATATTCTTTCCTATAAATTCTAATTTATCTTAAATGTAACTTTTTTTTTTTTTTTGATACTATGGTTTTATGGTCAATATCAGCTGGCAATGCTACCTAAAGATGTCACCCTCTCCTCAACGAACAATTAATTCAAATGAACTAGCAAATTCATTTACACTCCAGAATAACTCTCCCTCATGCAATTCTCCACTTATACCTCCCTCACAAAAAAATCTAAGATAATGGACTCCCAGATTTGATTCACTACATCATGATCCTCAAACTTCTAGCACAAGGGGAAACACACTGCAAAAGAAGACAATAGAAAAGATCACATTTTTCCCAAACCACTTTTTGTTGTTGTTGTCAAATCCTTATTTTGAGTCTTTATATTAATATCACTATTATTATTACCATTAAAAACCAAACTTACGTTTTATATTTGAAAATCTAGATACATTTTATTTAAATAATTTTGGCTAGATTGTTTGCATTCTGGCATCTCATTCATCTACCTTTTGGTCAGTGCTATGCTCTGAAGTTGATGACCTTTTCATTTAGTAACAAACATCTCCCTTTAATATACTATTCCAGTTTTTCTGTCTAGAGGATTCCATAAGAAACATGTATATTAAGTGCACACAATAAGCTCTTTTCACAGCTAGAAATCTTTCAGTGCATGGAAACTAAACATATATACAGACCCTGAAGAACATATTTCGCCTGAACATTCTGGATAGATACTAGGCATTGAGACAACGTAGTTAGCAGAAAGAGGACTGTAAGTCCATGGGGGTACGATACAAGAAGAGCCCTACTCCGAACAAGTGCTACTAATTTGTAATGTACAGGGAAGGTATTTTAACTTTTAAAAGTGACTTCTCCAACACACATGTACTAAAATATAAAGGAACATAACTTCTTTTGAACAGAAAGGGTGAAAAGGTGAATGGCTTGATACTGCCAGAATTTAAACCATTTCATGAGATGTTCTGAATGTAAACACATGTGCAATTTCCAAACAGTTGGAGACACTCAAAACACTACTGGCCCCCCCATGTTGCTTGCTTCCACTCCTCCGCTGAGAAGTGGCAAAGAGCACACAAGTGCTCTGCACCTGCTTCAGTGCAAAGTTAGCCTGTTCAGCATATGCTGCTAAGGAAATGGTGTAAGTTAACCTGACTGATCCTACACAGCAAGAATAGTTTACAGAGTGTTTCCACTTTCCTTTTTATATGTTTGTTTAGCTGTATGGCAGTAACTTCTGTCTGTTCAGTAATAACAAACAGCTGGGGACAATAATGTCTTCCACTGCTTCAGACAAATCTGGATGATGACACTGGTTCGTGTAATAGGTATTCCATAATAAAGGATTACAGCTTACCCATCACTCACTCACATGCAAGACTATTTACTATAAAAACTTTCTAACAATAACAGAGATTTACAGAACATGGAACAAAATAAAAAATAATGCAAAAGACTAGTAAAATTCTACTACTCTAAATAATAAAATTGAGACAAAAGCTAATGCTTCTATTTTGACTTTTTTTGTACAGCCTTGCTTTATTGTTTTTTATAATTAAAACTTGTCATTAGTTTCTGCTATGTAACATTTTCATTGATCTAACATCTGTGTCCATTAGTAATAGAAGAAAGCAATTTTGATTATACTGTAAAAATAAAGGACAATTTTAATGTCGCCAGGCAGTAATAATATCCAGATCCTGGAATTCAAACATCACATGAAGTATCAAAAATACCAGAATTTGATCTAGAATTAACTATCACCATAGACTGACTGGAGAAAAGAAAGAAGAGACTCTGTGATGAAAATAAACACATTTCATTAAATGATGGACTAGATGTCCCTGCTACATGATCAAAGGCAAGTATATATTCCACTTTATTCCAGCTTAAAAGTGTTTTAGCTAAGGAAATGAAAATATTTTTATATGAAAATGAACTGATTACTTTGAAAGAAATTCAATGGCAAGACCCAACACACTAAAAAATACTGGAGAGAAATTACAAAAGGAATGCAATGATTTACGCACTATCTTAGTTCTGTCTTTTTCTCTGGTATTCATCACCACTGAATCTTTTGTGATCTTTCAGCTTTAATGTTATATAATTAACACAACTTGCAGATTTTTCACCTTCACATGTGTCTGTCTCAGCGCTGAACACATAACCCTTTGGACAAGTGCAGCTGTAACTTCCAGGGGTGTTTCGACAGAGCCCATTATCACACAGCAGCCTGTTCACTGAACATTCATCGATGTCTGCAAAAAGATGAGTTAGGCATACCAATGAATGCAAATGTCATGAGATGCCTTCATCTCCACAAGTAGCTCCTGTTGCTTTCTACAGCAACAATTAGGTTGCCAGATATGCAGTTTTCTACTACAGTGACTAAGCCAGGAAAAATGCCAATTCTGAGTTTCAAAAGTCTAATTCATTTTCAGATTCTTACTACCAAAAATTCTGTTCTGCTTTTGAAGTTTTTCATTAGCAGGCTCTAAAAATAGTTCACGGTTAGTCTTAAAATAATAATTATGTTTCCCTGGAATGACCTTGGGATCAATTCTATGATTCTATTACCATGACAACTTCACAAAGGTCTATTTGCTTTGAAACCAGAATTTTTATGGGCAAAAATTGATTTTGTTATCCATGAAGCAACTATGTGCGTTAAAATTTAAATTGTACAATTCACGTACGGTAGACATCTCAAGAGTACTCCTTCATATGTGCCTCCCCTCCAGAAGTATCCTGCATTAAGAAAAACCCCTATGATTTAGACCAGGATATCAAGCATACTGAATAGGAAAACCCCATAAACTAACATCACTCACTGAACTCCTCTTACACTAACTGCAAATAATGCTAATACAAAGCAGTCAATCTTCCTCATCGTTGTATTGTTTATTTTTAAGAAGAAAAAAAAAAAAAATTTAAGCTACTTTCCTTTAATGCCCATCATACTTTACAAACACCTAAGCTTATAGAATACTGACAGGATAAGCTATGATAAAACTGACACTTCATCCTGTCTAAGGGTGTGTCCTATATTTTGACTACTTGATTTTCCAAATTTAACACTGCAACTGAAATCTTAAATCACTTAGATTTTTTAGAGAGTTTAAAAACAAAGACAAAAACCAAGAATGCAATATAATTACAATCTGGAGGCTTTTGGTTTCCCAACCACATTAGATTTTGCAAACTATGCTTATAAATTCCTTTAGGATTCAGATAATAAAATCTAAATTTCCCCAGACAATGAATCCAAGATTTAAGTTTGGCAGCTATAAAGAAGCTCTCCTAAACTAACCTGCCCTAAATCTAACCTCATCTCATATTAACTAAGTAAAAGAGGATGGGTTTAGAATTTGACATTTTCAAGAGCAATAGAGTTTAATTCTGAGCTTGTTGTCATACAATCCTTTAACCCAAACTAGAAGTGTTATGAACATATTATTTCCTTAGAATCTCACAGAATAACTTCATATTTGGACTAAAAGGATATAGCTCATGCTTTAAAAACACTTAAAACTGGAAAAAATACTGTCTGCATTCTGCTTGGTGACCATTTTTATTTCCTGGCAGATCATAATTTGTATCATTGATTAAAACATTTCAACCCTTTATTTGTGTTTTCATAACTAAATTCTTTAGTGCAGAAATTATCATCTCTAATAATAAATGCATCCTTACAGTCAGCATTCTGTATTTTTATTTAAATAATTAAACAGACATATACCTACACTAGCACTTAATGTAATCTCAAGTATAACTAGATAAACAAAATCCCTTGCCATAAAATCCATTTGAAAAACCAGTATTACGTGAAGTAATTAAAAAACCCACTGACAGTTTCCTTCAGCAGTGCCCTTCCTAACAAAAGGTCATATTTAGGGCCTTTAGAAAGTAACTAGCTGTAAAATTCCTTAAGTCAAGCAGATGAGAAGAAACATTTTTATTAGTTTGTGTTTGCTTTGCATCACTAGGCAGGAATGTTTGGTATTAAAATTATACCACAGTTACACAGTCCAGGTTTTCCCTACCAAAAATGGCGGGGTTTTGTTGACCACAAACACCAGTAATAGTTCAGTAAACTTTTAAGTGCACAGAGCAATAATTCCCCAATATAAACACATCAGACAGTAGGACAATACTCAAGACTTGAATGGTTTCAGATAGATTTCCATTAGCTTTTAATACAAACAAACTTCAGCTTTCTGTTTAAAACCACAGGACTATAACAGGACTGTAAGTGATATTATTGTACAGTGTATCCATGGTATAATACACTTTTTGTCAAACCTAAGAACTCCCAAAAGAAAAAAACACTGAATTTCATGTTATGATCATGAATAATAAAATTAATTAGACAGAAGGTCAAACGTCTACCATAGGTACCTTGTGTTGGGTATTCCTAAACTCTTGTAGAAAATGTATCTAGATATTGCAACAACAGTCTGGTATAAACCCAAACCAAACTACAAACGACAATTAGAAGTTTCTGAAATGAATCATTCCTGTATATTGGTGATCTGAAATTCTGAAGAATAAAAGAACAGCTGTTACACTTGAGCCCACTGTTCAGACATGATTTTTGAATTTCTAAGAGTGGCTCATTGCTTCCTTCACGAGTTGAAGCCTTCATAAATTAGAGGACTAAGGGTGCAGCAATCCATTCTGCTGTCCTGTAACTCAAGGACATCAAGAATTATTGCATACTGCAGAAGTTCTGTACACAGGCCACCAGTTATCATTCACTATGATAATGATAGCCATCTGTTACATTACATCATGCAAAATCGTGACCTTCAGCTCTTGACAAATTATTATCCAGTCTTGAAAGGGACACATTTTAGGTGGTCTTGACAAATGTTATACATTAAAATATAACACAAACTGATCCCTGCTTTTGAGAAAATTAATTCCTAACCTGCACTGATACTTCCTGCTTACAATTCCCAAACAGTAATAACTCCCTGCCAAATAAGAGAAAAATACACTAGGAAGAGTACTAGCTATGCAGTGACTGAGAAAAGCAGTTTCACTAGATTGTTTGCATTTTCATTGTAGCTTTAAGTAGATGTCTTGCAACGTAAATTCTGTCAATTCAAATTAGCATCAATATAGTGATGAATAATTAAAAAATCAAGCAACTTACCCACACAATTCCTTCCAGAAGGATCAGGCTCATAGCCACTGTTACAGTTACAACGATAGCTGCCACGTAAGTTTTCACAAATTCCATTGGAGCAAATATCAGGATCCAATGCACATTCATTAATATCTGCATTAACACAACACAGAAGATTATGAGATACTAAGACATGAAAAACCTGATCCTGTGACAGATGTGGACAACATCTGACTCACTGGATGTTGGGACTGTCATTCAGAGCAAGGGTATGGCAAGGGTGCAGCCAGAAGGCTGAAAGAAGTAATTATTCCATTCTGTTTGACACTAGTGAGGCCAAACCTGGAACACCGCATCAAGTTTTGGGCCACTTCATGAGGTTCACATGGACAAATCATGCCTGACTGATCTAGTGGCCTTCTATGATGGAGTGACTGTACCAGTGGACAAGGGAAGAACTACTGATATAATCTACCTTGACTTCTGTAAGGGCTTTGATGGGGTCCCCTACAACCTTCTTCTCTCTCTACTAAAGATAAATGGATTTCATGGATGGACTGAAAGATAAGGAGTTGGGTGGACGGTCATGCGCAAAGCGTTATGGTCAACAACTCAATGTCCAAGAGGAAACCAGTAACAAGTGGTGTCTCTCAAGGGTCCATACTAAGACCAATACTGTTTAATGTCTTTATCACTGACATAGACAGTGGGACTGAGTGCACTTTCAGCAAGTCAGCAGATGACACCAAGCTGAGTGGTGCAGTTGATTTGTTAGAAGCAAGAGATATCACCCAGAGAGACACTGACAGGCTTGAGGAGTGGGCCCATGAGGTTCACACAATCACTGTAGTCCAGGCTGCCACCAATCTTGACCTCTCGAATCAGTTTATCTGTATTGGTAAGCAACAGGTCCACTAATGCTGTTTCTCTGGTTGGGCTGTCTATCCCCTGGATTAAGAAACTATCCTCCATGCATTCCATTAGTCTCCTGGACTATATACAGCTTGCTCTGCTGCTTATCCAGATGTCAGGGTGACTGAAGTCCCCTAGCAGGGTCAGTGCCTGATGAATAAGTAGAGGCTGAGGGACCTGGACTTTAGCCAGCAAGAGGGAAGATGAGAGGGACACATAATAGCAGTTCTCTGATCTTAATAGATGGTTACAGAGAAGATGGAGCCAAACTCTTCTTTGAGGCACACAATGACAGGGCAAAGGACAACAGTTACAAATTACAACAGGGGAAATTTTAACTGAATACCAGGAAAACAATTCTTCCCTATGAGAGTGGTTAAGCACTAGAGCAGGCTGCCCAAAGAGGCTATGGGAACTCCATCCTTGGAGATTTTCCAGACTCAATTGGGCCTTGAGAAACCAGATTCAACTTTGAAGTAACTCCTGCTCTGAGCAGAAGGCTAGGTTGGATGACCTCCAGATACCCTTTCCAACCTAAATCATTAGGGAACTATGTGTATCTAAGTACACCTTGATGCAAAATATCTAGCCTACACACTCAGTGCCTGTGGTTTAAGGATCTAGGTAACAAGCTATAAATTATTAGGTGACAATAATACTTTTCCTAATACAGAACCAATGCACAGGTCAATACCACAGCATACTCAGCCTTATAGAAATTATAGCACTTGTTGGAAATTTAAAATGTTTCTCACATCAACAGAATAGGATGATGAATGATACATATTCCCTGAATTTACAGTCCCATATAGAATTTCTGCTGTAGTTGGAAAATTCCAAAATATTCATATGAACTATAAGAACAGGAACAGGCTAGTTTTAATATTTTTTGCCTCTGAGGAAAAGAGGGTTTTTCAATATTAAGTTATTTCTTCCCATACGGTAAGACCATTATTTAAACAGTTCCCTTTCCAAACCCTGGAAAGAACAGCAGGGGTTCTGGCCTAGCTGTGACTTCATAAAAAGCTTGGTTTATACCTGCACTGCTCACCTTTTTATAAAGGACATTTCCTCTTTAATCATACTGTAGTTTAGATCATGATTTACATATATTCAGATATGCATTTGGAAAAATCATGCTACCCCTGCATTAAACTCAAAGCTATGAGACATCTGAAAATTTCATAAGAAAACATCCATTAGCATAATATTTCAGCTTTATGTTTTCTTTTGAGCAAGAAGTTTTCTGTAGTGTACTAAACTTTTTTGTATTTTGGGGACAAGCCACGCAATTGCATGACTCTATCTCTCCTTATCAAATTAATGATTTCAGAAGATCCAGCCCTTCCTGTCACTTTTTATACTGAACCAGCCTGCAGAATCTCTGTCCTCACCTATATCCAGATTTCTCTCACATGAAGATGTGAAGATTTTGAGCTTGTTAATCAAAAGCTGAATAAGAAGAGTAGGGATGTGGTGACAGACTGCAGTCTAATTAAGAAGCTATGTATCAACTAAAAGTCAAATAAAGTCTATGGCAAGAGTTTCACTGACGAAGTGTATTCTACACACTCTTGATAATGAGAATGCATGAGGAACACAACAGAATTTTTATTAGTGACTGAATGTGGGATCAGTATTCCTCTCCTTTAGAAAGTGAAATTGGCAAAGTCCCTTGGTATAAGCAGTGATAGGAGTAGCAGCAAGAAAATTGTCTGCAAGTAAGGTCGCTGCACAAGATGTACAGAAAATTCTAGGGTTTTCTTTAGAAACCTAACCAAAGAAGGACTTTAGTTGAGACATGAATCCCTAAGAAATCATAGCCTTTATTATGCAGTTGGTAAAGACCACAATTGGTTTTATGTTTTTAGTGAGAAATTGTATTTCCCATGTATCCAAAAGAACATATAACCTCTCTAGCGGACTACATGCAAATTCTCAGGGTAGGATGCTGTTTCTACAACATTATGGTACACTGCCATTATTTCTCCATAAGCTTTAGAGATTCTTCAAAATGGAAATGCATAATTCACTGAAAAGAAAACTGAGAGAATTTACCAAGTCTATGGATTTCAAGTTAATTGTAAATTTGGCAACATGTTAAGCAATGAGCTCATAGAGAAGAAAAAAGTATGCATATACACATACAGTACTGAACAGAAACAGAATTTCTTTTATTATAGTACTATTTTTAAAAGTTATGTAGGCTGCTACTAATGACAACGATCAGAGGGTCTCATTCTGAGTTCTGCTGAACTGCCAGCTTTAATACCAACAAGGACAAAAGCTACACAAATTAAATGCCTGGAAATATTAAATGTACAGTATCTGCTTTAATTTGGCTGCAACTTTATTAACTCATCAGCGAACTATCAAGCAACAAATCATAATGCGGTGATCCAACTTTCCTTCTTCAACTCACTATACTTATTTGGCAGCTACAGCATGCATTGCCTCCACTTCAGGT